ATTTGTCTAGTAGTTTCGGAGATACGGGGGGGGGGGGCAAAAAAAATCCCCACCCCCCTCCCACCGCGCGGAAGGTGGCCGGGAGGCCCACCGCCTGCCGGGTTAAGTTACCCTCGTAGCAAGCAAGCGCATGCAATAGGTAAATGTTGAACCACATCTGAACCTGTTTTATCTATCAGGCTAACGTAGCTCAATACTTTCGGCTCTTCTCAAATGCACGTGTACACTGTACGGGCTAGTTAGGCATACCTAGCCACTGTCTGTGGTCCGGGATAAATATAAACATCAAACCCAAGTGTTTGTTTTTATCACAAAACTTACACAGTGTCAGTGACACACCAGCGGTGCCAATAGTTTTAGACGGCACCCAGGTGGATAAGTGATTTTGGAAATGACCTTTTTGGTGCCTCACTGAGTGAGTTAGATTCCTCGGCAGTGGGTGAGGAGTGAGGTGAGTGAGTGAAACGAGTGAGTGAGTCGTGCGCTGAGTGAGGTGAGCGAGGGCCCGGTGATGGGAGGCCGGCAAATTGGTGTTGGAGTTAGAGGTGGCAAAAGAAAAAAAATTTGGGAACCAGACTCGAACCAGACCCGGCTGGACATTTCTGGAACCAGTCGGACCCGGCCTTAGTTGGAATCGGAACCAGTTGGACCCGTTCCCCAAAAGTCAGTTAATACAACGTTAGGCGGCACGGGCGGACATCGATAGCAGCGCCTCTATCGGTCACTAGGGAAAGCTGGGCTGTAGGCGACGAAATACCGGCTGAGTTGTCACACGTTGAATAGGTTTATAGACATCCGTCTTGTGAAAAGGTTGAACTTTTGCCTTCAATATTTCTACAGGCAATTTTAGAAGTGTCTTCACATAGATTACAACACCGTTAAGATTATTGTATTCACTTCAAGCCTTCCCTATTGTTCTTGATGATGCGGGAACTATTTCTAATTAGTGTTTCTATTTTAAAAAAGAACATATTGTGCAAACGATGAAAAAACATAGATGGAAGATTTTAAATGCAATTTTCTCCAGCAATTAATGGTAAATTATCTACAGATCAAGGAAAAGATGCATGCTAACTGATAATTTAAAGTTCTTGGGGCCAGTTGTTTTCTTCTTTTCTTACGTCGCCCCAATGACCGCGAATACACTTGTGATAACGCCTATCGAACTACTTGTAGGTATCATTAGTTGCATCATGTAGAACAGCCTATTTCCCACTGGGAATACTCATGAGCTACTGTGTGCAAAGAAACATTCACTTCATTCACTTCATATTTTGCAATAATGTGTAGTGTGCAAGATGTATAGTTTATGGTAGTACCCGGTTGGACCCGTCATAAAATTTCCAGGAACCGGTCTGGACCCATATGGGTCCAGACTGGTTCTTTGGACCGGGTCCTCGGGTCCACATTTTGCCACCTCTAGTTAGAGTCCAGCGTGTTTGCAGTTACACCCTGGTGATAAATGACAAGTGATAGACGTCATGAGGCGCACAGTGCCGTCATTTTATGGGCGATGATGCTGACGATGAATGAGTGCCTTTTGTTTGCTGTAATGTGTTGACGTTTAAGCAGTTCGTTACAATTTAAGCATCGATCTTGTCTGTAGCAGCGCAACTACATAGAAAGGCACGAATGGCTTCGTCTGACAGGGTCTCTATCTATAGCCCTTGCTGGAATACCTCTAACGTTTTGATAGTCACTCGTCCGGTCATATTTGTTGATTCCGTTCGGCAGAGCCGTATTCCGCACAGCCGCTTTGTGTTGGGCATCCATGCCGCCGTCTTTTGGCATTTCTCGCCACCACCAGCGATCATCTGTTGATATGCAATATAATTATTAGCAGTATTTTTTTTTTATAAATTTAGTCCGAACCTTTTGAATGGAAGGATTCACAAGGACAGAGCTCCCACTAAGCGAAAATTGTTGCGTTGACCCTGCCCTCTACCCTCCCGATCGCGCAATTCCGGTTCTATGGCAGAATTTAGATTCCAAAGTTTAACCCTCGCCCATGTAGGGGGGGGGGTTGGTGCAACCCCCCCCTGAGGTTTTTCGGAAATAGTGCAAAAACGGCGGCCTTATGGGGCAAACCTTGCGCATCTTTTGATAAAAAAAATTTGACCGGGTCATGTCAGGTCACGGAGTTATGACGTCACAAAGGGAACAGCCTCCGGCCGGATTTTCACAAACTGAGTGCCAACGCCCGAGGTTTCCTGCCGGTGGTACGGACATCGGTTGATGGATCGTGATGAAACTTCCCATGCATGTTGGGGCAAGTATTGGCTATCATATGGTATAAGAAACTTGACCGGGTCAGGTCAGGTCACGGAGCTATGACGTCACAAGAGTAACAGCGTCCGGTACTATTTTTGAAAAGCGCCCGAACCACTATTTTGCTAATTTTTGTCACCTCAATGGGAATATGCAGCAATATTAGCTTCTATAGGGAGCAAATGGACCTTCCAAATCCAAAAATACAATCAGATTTCAAAAATTAAAATTTTGATTTTTCGAATTTCTGCCGCCGACTGTGACCTTGCCGACTTCCGGCGCTCCCAACGCGCCATTTTTAGAGATAGGGAAACGAAATACATACCAAACGATAGAGAATTGATCAAGGAACACGATAGTGAAGGTTTCAAGTCGATATCTCCCACCGTTTTGCCGCAATCGCCGCGGAAAGTTGAAAAAAGTCTATTTTTCCGAAAATTTGACCTTTGACCGGTCAAAAGTAGGTCAAATGTTGACCTAGGACCAAAAAATATACCACCAATCGCGAGATCTCGGCGAGAGCAATCCGTTGGTCTTTTCCGCTAAGCTCTACGACGCTCCGTTTTCAAACGCCAAGGGGGGTCGCACCAACCCCCCCCCCCCCCCTGCATGGGCGAAGGTGGCAGATCGCCGTTTACGGGCGAGGGTTAACGTGCGCACATAGCCGCACACGGCCGGTCCCCTTACTGACTTAACCCTATTAGTGGCAGGCTCCTGGCTACCCCATATTAGTGGCAGGGGGGGGGGGCTGTTTACGACCCCCCTTGATATCTCGAGATCTAACCGGCCGATTTTCAAAATTCAAACGGCATTCGATTTGGCTCAACGAGATCTACATTTCTAAAAAAAAAAAATTAAAAAATGTCAATAGGGGGAAGAGGGGGGTAAAAACGGGCAAATTGCAGATACATTTTAGACTGTTGATCACGGCCAGGTTTCTGAACCAATCCTAACGCAACTTTTGCCGATCGATAGAGAATGAACCAGGAATTCACATGGATCCTAAAAATATGCATTTTCAAAAATCATAGGCGGATACAGATCATTGAGATTGGGGGTACACAAAAAGTATAGTAAATAAGGTTTTTGTTGGTACTGTTTCTAAAAAAGGTGGCAATGGTCTTGTTATGTTACAATTTTCTTATGAGAGAACGACTAAAATTGTATTGGTCATGCATAGGCGGTGTCAGGGCACCTATGTTGGGAGGTAAAAAATAACCCCCCTTTTTGGACGCCTGGATCCGCCTATTATAGCAAAAACGTGTCAAAAGAGGATGCACAATAACTTTGTATATGTTATCACATGATACCTTTCATTCACTGTTCGTAAAACTGGTGCAGCACCGTGATCTTCGCCCAAATGACTCGCTTCACGAATAGGACCCCCAATTCCCAGTGCTCTGGAGCCGCCCCTGGTAAAGTTATGAACTTGAAATTTTCAGGGAATGTGCCCAATTTAGTTTTAGGAAAAGTCAGAAAATTTCAGCATCGTAGCTTCAGCGGTTTCGGAGATATTCCCGAAAAACCTGAGGGGTGGATAAAAACAACTAATGCCACTAATAGGGTTAACCTGGCTACGAGTACGGCAGCTGCCACCAACCGCAACCATACCTACCTACTTGTCAGGAGGCCCGTAAACGTCAAGCGCACGTCGCGCTTTGAACCCGGACTGTTATAACCGGGAACGCGTGCTCTCACCACGCGGAGTCCAACCGGCTCTACCGACTGAGCTACGGGACCGGCTGGAATGACCTGGAACTTTGGCCGATCCAGGAAGGTGGTTTGAGGAGAAAAGCTACGATGGCATGGCTACCACGACTTTCAACTTATGTAGAAAACTCCTGATTCCGTTCCTTATTGCGTTGCGCGTATAAAGCAATTTTCAATGCCGGGCATTTCTTTTTCGGAGGGAGACGGCAAAATATGTTAATTTTCAACGCTGGAGCGGCAACAGCCCCAACTCTCTCGATTCGCCAGTGGTAACAGCCATAGGTATTGACCATGGATCAGGATATCGATCATTGATATCCATTTTCCATCCGTGTCCATCCATGCGACTGAATCTGATATGAGATTCAGATGTCAGATATCTAAGCGACAGCCGACAACAGTGATTTTTGTCTCCTCTTTTCACGGGGCCGGGTGGTGGGCCCTAACAGAATCCTCTGGAGAAGAGCCAGCTCACTACAACGCCCTTATCTCCATACCTAAACGTCCATCTTGATCGCGGTTGGTGGGACGTAATGCGGGACAGCCTATCATCAGGCGTTCTCCGCCAGCGCTATCTATGAGCGGACATGTAAGCTGCAGTACGGCTTTTCTGTAACTCGCCTTTGGTCTTCGCAACCCTGAAACGTATGTATACGTTTCGTAGTGTGTTGGTGGGATGGAAAATGTGTATCCTGTTTTTGTGACTTTATGATAGCCTTGCAAATGCGTGCAATAATGAATAACGACGGACAATGCTGCGCTGCGATTGCTGACACGGACAAGTGGCTATTACCAAGCTATTACACTGCACAGGTTCACAAAAGTATTTCAGTGAAGTTATTCGCTTTTGAAATTATATAATCAATGTTATGTAATTGCAGAAACATAACAGGAGGGCTACTAATGCCAATAATTAAAGGTACAAAATAAATTTTGCCGGCAATGCGTGCCCTTTCCCATGCAGATATAAAATACTAGCGGTATGTCGTTTCTGTATGTATCGTGCTCGCCATGTATGTCGCTTTGCGCCTTTTCGATGGCGCCAAAAATAAAAACAATTGTCAACCGTTCAGCAAACGTGGGAGAATGAGTGGGAATGTAATTATTTTCTCGGCCTTGATTTTCTCTACTTATGGTTCCTGTCGTTAGCATCAGTTGAATTGAAAATCGTGTTTATTTGGGATTTTGGCTGCCGTGTATTGAAGGTAAGTTGAAGTAGGGAAGGGATCTACTCGCGGTTTCAGGTTTTAGCGGTAGGTTCTGCACCTAGAAAGTTTAGTGTACTTCAGGCTATATCTTCGTCGTCTTAAGCTTTTAAGTGTTGAAGATGCGATCAACTTGTTGGTTCACAAGCCGGCCACGATCGTGTAAAATGGCTTCACCGTAGATCGATTAGTTTCTGAGATATAGCCATTAACCTGAAATGTAAAAGTGCAAAACCTACCGCTCAATCTCGCGAGAGCCGTACCTGGCTGGTGTGAATCTAAACTTTTGCAAATTGCTGTTGTTTTTAAGCTTATAAGGCACAGAAGCTAAATGGTTGAAGAATAGTGGGGATCGCAATTCACATGCATATATATTGGACGGATTTGATCATGGTTATATTTAAACAACATTTTTATGTTTCAGCATCAGCTATGGAGGTTCCAGAGGAAGTCCATCATGTCCAGAGGATACTCTCTTCAATGCAGAAGACTCTGGAGTGCAGGATATGGTCAGTCATCCATTGTTATCAGCTCTGACACATTCACTCGTGACTCGGTCTTTATCTATGTGATGTGTGTGTTTTTAATTGAAATTTGGAGACCATGTTTGGCTGGAATCGCGATTTGGCGCATGTGGGCTCACATTATCCACGTGTTTCTCGTTTTTTGTGGTTGTAAACATTTAAAAATGTGAAAAGATGTTGGTCCCATGTGTAAGCATGGGTGTCAAGGTCACGTGAAGGTCAGGTCAAGGTCATTGGCCTTTGATGATCTTTTCTCACTTTTTGAGTTTTCCATGTTTTTACGGTATTTTTTTACCCGGTCTCAGATTAAGCACCTGTTTGAACATTTACGAAGTAGTTTTAGTGCTTTCGTAACAAGCTACGAACCTGTTAGTGGTGATTAACTCCTGTGCTTTGGATAGCTGGCACGACGACTACTGTTTGACCTGACCTGACCCGACCTGGCCTAACTGCATGAAGACATAATCTGTGGTCAAAACTAACGCAAAATTTGTGACCAGCGCCCCGGAAAACTCCATAACGAACCCACTTTACAAAGTTTTAACAGGTCCCAACTTTCCCGACTTTGGTCATTCACCTGACCTCGAACGCCAACCAATGACCTAGGACCTTAAAGTTGGCTATCATCGGCTTCATCTTGGCACGGGCAACATGCTCCTTTTTTTCTCGCGAAGCTCTAGCTCGATCAGGGGCGAAGGGACACTCCCCCAACGCTAGCAGCCGGCAAAACACCGATACCGGCGAGGGTTGATCCGGGCCGGCCGAGAGGGAGCACCTGCCGCCTCTGACTGGTTTTTCACAATTGGTCGGAACGTGCCGGCATTAGAGAGCTGAAAGTTAGCACACCGGATGTTTGATTCAAGACTCTTTTGATTTGACTGATTTGAGGATCTTTTGACACCAACTGCATATTCGGGTCAAGTCAGGTCACTGACATGTTCTGACATAAGTGAACCTCTGCACGATCCTAAAATGTCACAACGACAACTTCACAACGGCCTCAGCGCTAGAGGAACTTTCAGAGGGATATGAAACTTACAGGGCTTAGGATTGTCCTGAGGATGTCTCACAACTTGTTTCTCATATTTTTTCTTGGGTTCACCTTAGGTCAGGTCGTGACATGACCTCACCATCATAAGTCAGTGGGGGGAAATGTTCTTTTTTTTTGGCGCCGGGAATGATTTAGGACTACCACAAGGCTCAAGTACATGGAAACATAATTTCACACGCTCTTTGCATGGCCCGATGTTTGATTTTTGTATAGTTGACCCCGCCTGACGTCGAATATGACGTCACTTCGGTCACCGGAGTTTTTCGTCAATAGTTTACGATCAAAGTTGAGATAGCCATTCGGAAAGAGACATGGGCCGAGGAAGATCTGCCGAATCGAATGATGTGCGATGTGTTATTTTTCGACCAACATCGTGACCTGAGAGGCTGTGAACTGACTTTGACCTGAGGTCAACACCCTAAGATGACAACACCCTAAGCTAACAACGTTACACCCTGAGATCAACACGTTAGGTTGACCTCACTCAAACGAAGAGTGGGGGTGAGTAGTTAGGGGAGGGGGCTATTTGGTCATTTTGCACACCTCTGTCTAATGTTAAAATTTTCCCATTATAAGCTATTTCATCATTTCAAATTTACTGTGTAGGAAAAGTCAAATAACTAAATGCAAGCCCTGCCAGCGTTTAACCCTATTCCTGGCGGGCTCCGCCGGGACAAGAAACTGGCGGGGGGGACGCCGATTCGGCCCCCCTTCAGATATCAAAAACTACACATCGCAGCGGCAAACAGCAAACGGCGTTTGATAGGTCGTTTAAAGATCTACAACTTTTACATAAAACATTTTCAGGTCAGGTCAATATTGAGGTCACCAGAGGTCATCAACGATAAAATGTTTTGGAATTAGTTACCTATATAACTTTTAAACTAAGAAACATAGAGACATAAAACAAAAAAACATTTTTTGTTGCTCTCGCCGAGGCGATGCGAAATAAGTATGTGATGACATTCACAGGTCAATTTGAAATTTGACCTGAGGTCAAGGTCAGGTCATTCATCAATGAGGTTGTGGGGTATGGTCATGCTGCATACCAAACGACGCGCCTTGACCAGGCGAGCAGTTTGGTACCACTTACAAAGTCTTTAGCACCATCATGTCGTGATTTATTGACAGAAAAACGATTTATGACGTCACATGACCTCAGATGACCTTTGCCGGTGCCCCTGTAAATTAGCGGCACCATGATAATCACCGATGAGATAATTTTTCATAATACTGAAAGAATTGGGTGGTTTTGACTCGTTTACACGAAGCAGGAGGCGTTTCAATATTTTCCCATAGGCTTGCAATGTAAAGGTCACGAGTCTGGTCTGACCTCAGGTCACAGATAGGAAAATTCTGAGATATATAAATTGCACATACTGGTACCCTAACTAAAACCTGAAGAGAAGAAATTGATCGGTCAAAAACTCTAGCTCTGGCGTGATTGCAAACTTTCTGAGGTGGGGTCACCAAACCGCCTCTGGTGACCTGACCTGACCTGACCCGGCAACTTTTTTTTTGTCAAAATGTGCGCAAAGAATGTTTAGAAAAAGTCACCGAGTATGAGCTTTCAGTCTTGCGGCGTTTGGCAATGGCACAAAAAAAAACCTGAAGGGGGGGGGGGCTTAAAGGCCCCCCGCCAGGGATAGGGTTAAAGTGTGCGGAACTATGGCGTCGGTTTTGAGATGCATGACTTAAAGGGACTATCCCACCTTCTAAAATGTTGTTAAAACCAGTTAAATTGTGCCTGACTTTTTAGATTGGATGACCAGGAACACGGTTCTGGCATTTATTTTTCATTAAACATCTTAGGCTTCCCATATTCCAAACACAAACTTTCAAATATGTGACGTCACAGCCCAAAATTACCTCCTTCCCCAGGCCACATTACTGTCATAAAGCTGATTCTTTTTACTCTGTAGGCACCACAACAAAGTTCAGACCAAGTTTTAAGCGATTTTTCAACGAACAAACCCATTTAAAGGAAAAGGGCCACCTTTAACATGGGGATTGAAACTGAGATAGCCATCTTGTAGCCCGTGTCCGAAAACCTCTCTGTCTACCTCCTTACGGCCGATTTCGGCCTCCATTCGTAGTTATCGGCAATTTTAAAAGAAAATATGCCAGGAATGCGTTCTTATCCCAGGAATGCGTTCTTATCCGACAATACAGCCACCCGCGGCGAGGCTTTGGTTTTTAACCAATCAGCTTGCAGCAGTACTGATCAGGCACGGATCCCTGTACTAGCGAGCAGACCACGAGCAGTTGCGTTATTTTTCGTTGTCTGTTCTGGCAATCGGCCGGCGGATGAACATCCGCAATCGAATCTTGAAATCCGTCGCGCTGATTGGTGATGAGTTTCATGAGCTACTTTCATGAGGTCTATGAAAGTAAACCTATGCTATGCCCTGAACAGATGACATCTCGTTTGGTAGCCAATTGCTAAAATGCATTTTTATCTTACGCAAGGCAGTATACCATATTTTATACCGTGGCTCTGATCCGAAATCAGGGCATTTTTGTTCGAACAAATACCTATAATAACGATGAAGAAGTGCGTGATCCGCGGAGCAAACGACCTACATCGGGTCGGGACTGATATGCGTGTGACTGTGCACAAGTAAGTACCTAGGTACCTAGGTAGGTACCTAAATTCTTATTTATTGCAATGGCTCTTCTATTACTTTTGTTTTCACAGAACTCTCCCCTGGATTAGCAAACCCTTTTTGAACTGTTCAGGCTTTCACAACTGAAATGCCAGACTGGATAAAAAAACGCAAGTTATGCCGAATATGTCATGCGAAGTGGCGTGATTGCGGCGTTGCCCCGAAAATTTCATCGCACATCCAGCATAATTTTGCATGCGTCAAATTCAGCGCATGGTGGCAGCTGAATTTTTAGGCGCAGGGTGACCGCATGGCGCATAATGTTTATGCAAATGGCTGTCACCGAATTTTTTGACACGCTGTGGTCAATCTAGCAGCAGACTTGCCCTGCGGGCGCTGGCAGGTCTGAAGAGAGTCGGAACTTCCGGCCTGGGCCTTGTTTCACCTTAAGATTCTACAGTGTGCCACACAAATTGTGGTATTGGGTTTTCATGGGAACATTAACTAATTCAGACGCTCAGAAAGGGAAGAGCGTCTGACTCCGAGGCCCCAGAACGATCTGTCTGGTTGATATAGCCTTGGTCGGTAGATATGCACATGTGCTTTATGTAAAAGTGGCTTAATTTTGGTGCAAACAGGCACCCAACTTTCAGTGGAAATCATGCACTGGAATTCCAGCTCAAAATTGCTTGCTTCAAATTTTGGCGCATGAGGGGCTCACGGGCATCCGGTGTAGTGTATGGATGTTTTCCAGTCTGGCTGAAAGGCAGAACTCAGACACATTTATCCAGCCCTTCAAATCCCATTTCCTGGTTGTGGTAACACCTACCTTTCCATGGGGGTTTGGTTCATCTCTTGTCTACACAGTTTTCTTTCACTTATGTGCTGACAAGAAAAGGAAACTCACCAGAGCCCAGTTTCACCAAGTGCGGTAAACTCAATTTGGGGTAAACTACCAAACTACCCCACTACTTAACTACAAAAACTACCCCAAAATTAAGTTTACCGTTCTTGGTGAAACTGGGCTCAGTGGAGCTATTCAGCTTAATACACAGAGTATGTGTTGCATGGACTAAGCATGTGCTGACCCTTTTTTACTTTTAGGTTCCCGCTAAAAAAAGAAGTACAGAGAAAAGTGGATGAGGGTGTGTGGCATGACCAATGAGCCAAGACCACATGACCACTTAAACTTAACAAGAAGTGCGCACCATGATAAGCACAGTCAAAAACGTTTGCGTCTAAAGAACAGTGCTGTGCCGGATCAGAATGTAAGTTATTTTTTAAAAGTGATGAAAATGCCTGCAAAGTTATCAAAAGACTTTGAATAT